ACATTTTAATAGAGATGTACGTAGTACTAAAGTTTCAACCTTTACATTATCATCAATATAATTAAACAATAATGAATTGAATATTATATATTAATTAATGTATTATTTATGAAATAATTTTTTGAGAAAAACAACACCAATATTTCATAAAGATTGTAGTAGCATGCTGAGAATTATTTGAAACAAAAATATTTAAGATTAAAAGGTAAAAAATTTCATGCACTGTTACATTATCTAACACATAATTACACAATGACTCATTAATATAAAACTTAAATAAATTAAAACATATTAAAATTTTAGAAGTTAAATATTTTAAGAAATTATAATTTTAATCAGTGATGAATCTTAAACTTTAAATTTTGATGATTAATAACGTTTACACATACATTAGATATATTTAATAAAAATAGTCGTATTACTATAAACTTTTAAACATACAATACATAAAATAATGACATTAAAGTGATTTATTGCAACAATCAATAAAGAAGTTACGTGATACACATAGCATTAGCATATTATAAATGAAAAGTGACGATATTCGAAAATTGTAAATGAACGAAGCTTATAATAATTGTAAGAGAGAAACAGAGAGATACTAGCAATCATAGATGTAAGAATAGGGAACATCAATAACGATAGACTTAGCCAAAAACTTGAAAACGTGATAAACAGTATAATATAAATAAAATAAAAAACAAATAATGGATGAAATCGTTACATAATTAAAGAAAAAGACTATCGAATACAGATTTTATTAATAGTATATCCAGATTTAAATTCTTGTATTGAAAATAACCTTAGCCTAGATATCTTGAAAGATATTAAAAAAAAAGATAGATAAACAAAGATTTAAAAAAAGAAATATTAAAAATAAAAAAAAAGAAATTATGAAATCTATAGACTTTTCAATAAAACTAAACAAAAAGGATACTTTTATGTAAGCTGATCGACAATGAATAAAAAATAATGCATGTAAATTTATATGTATAGAAGTGACATTTCCTAGCTTTATAGATCTATGAGCCTGTAGATGTATTTTACATCTTGATCCTCTCATTTATCAATAAATATTTAAAATTTATAAGACTAAAATGATTTTAAAAAATATTTACATCATAGAGAATATTGAATTTGTATAAAAATAAAAATCTTCGTAGAAATGGTACGTTAACTTGAGTAATTTGTCATCTGAAGAGAATTAAATTTACTAAAAATCTGTATTTTGGAAATAATTTATTAAAATTAAATATACTTAAAATTTATATAAAATATTTATCAGTAATTTTTTTGTTTAACGATATTTTTAACTTAAAAAGATTTAGATATAACTTAAATTATAAAATAAATTCGAACAAAATTTTGAAACCAATTGTTCAATTGAAAAGCTTAATTTTTCTGAACAAATAATCAATAATCTACAATTTTCATAATATGATAACTATGAATTGCACGTCAATGTAATTGAATTAAAGCGATAAAATATATACAAAATTATATAAATCTGTATGAAATTTTTGAGGAACTTCATGGTCACCATAATTTAAACTATTTTTTAGGAATATCCGTACATTAATTTATTGTAAATACTGTAATTAGATATAAGAGATAATTTAACAGTATGCTGTTAGTATTTTATTGTATTATATTTTTCATCATTTAAGATTTTATTTCAATAATTTAGATTTATTTTAATTTCATCAACTCTTTAATAAAAACTTTAAATAATTACTTTTATTCTGTCGGGTAATCAATATTTTTATATTTTCATTCAATTTTTGCTTATAAGATTGTGGCAGTCATGTATCTATCTATCATGATCTACAATTTGTAAATACATTTATGTGCATATTTACGAATATGAATATATATATATATATATATATACATTATATATATATATATATATATATCCATTTTCATTATGATTTGGTATGTGAAATTATAGTGGTATAAAAAAACATTTTGGCATATGCACCACATGCAAGAAATGTTTTGACTCTTACAATCCTAAGAAGGAAAACAGATTCCTCACTTAACGTCGCAGTGTATGCACAGATCACAACCATAAATTTATTTGTGCTCGTTAATTACGAGAAAAATATTTACTTAAAATTTCATTTCTGTATTTTCACTATAATTATACTAGGCGTGATGATCCTAAATAAATTTAGTTCAACCATGCTTGGTAATAGATGATATTTTTCTAAAATATATTGTCATTAAACAGTTTGATAAGTAAAATGGTAAATACACGAGATTTTAAAGAACAAATTATACAAGTATAGATATAAATATGATCGATACGCATGAATATATGATTAAAAAGAAATCTGAAATCATAAATACTTTAAATTATTAAATGTTCCACGGAAGATTTAAATGATTGAATCAAGATCCAACATCATTTTTAATCAATTATTTTTTATTCAATATCGATATATATTACCATCTTGTTATTTATTATATTACTGATTATTTATTATTATTTTTCTATATAAATTAATCGTGAATTGACTGTCAGCAGTTTACGCAAAATACGATCAGGCTAAAAATAAAATATTGATAATAAAACCATAATTCAATGCAAATATAATAATGAGATTTATAAAAATATTTTTTATTTTAATATTTTTTCTGAAATTTTTATGCAAGAGGAATTGTAGAATAATAAAATGAATGCTCATTTATGAAGTACAGTAATAATTTGATATTAATTATGTAACTTGATGATTAAATAATGTTGAATATAATACATAAAGAAATACATTTTAACAAAATTAGTTTAAAGGAATGGAGAACGATTTTCATTAGAAATTATTTAATAACTTCATACTATCATAGTCTAGTTTACTCAAAATAAAAGGATCTTATTAATAGAATATGAAAATAATTGAATAAAATTTTTACAAATTTTATGGGCAAAATTTTAGAATTAGAGAATTAATTTTTTCATAAAATGTCCTCCAAATTATAACTAACGATTCTCGTTCATTATTCCTTTTTAATTTATTACAATATTTTTCAAAGTATTGCTATTCAAGAACATATAGACGATAATCCATTTGGAGTAATATTTCAAGAGGAAGATAGTAGAAAAAATAGGTTAAATCATACTGGAACAATTGTAAAACTTATAAAAAATTTTATTTTAAATTTAAATACCATATTTTTAGAAAATAATCATTTGCATAATCTCTTTTGAATAATTGTTTATAAAATTGTATTTATGAACCGATTTATAATTAAACCTGGCACTATATAGAATCACGAAAGTTTATCAATTCAGTAAGAAAATATTTTGTTACTAGTAGTTGGATAAAAAGAGTCAAAGAGTCAATTACAAGATATAAATACATACAAAGAGAGAATTTCTGAATACTAAAATTCGCATAAAAAAAAACTAATTGTACGTACTTCTACTTATTGTTCTCATATTTTTCGTATTGCTTAAATTTGATTACACAAGTTGAAAACCTAGAGTCAAGCGTGCCAAATTCGGAAAGTGTTATTATACATATAAATCCACTATCTTCTTACCATTGGCTCGGATATATAATATAATTATTGCCATATAAATAATAAAGATACTTTTTATATGTTTAATTCAAAGCTTATAAAATATTACAATTTATTTTGCTGCGATGTATTCATGGTCATATATATTATATAATATTATATATATATATATAATATAAATATATTATATATTTTAATATATATGGTTCTTTAAAATGCCAGTTTTTTTGTCACTGGTAGCTCTTGATTATTTGAATATTGTGATTAATTCATCATCTAAAAATGATTTAAGGTTTAACAATTTCCTATTTTTATTCCGAATCTTCAAAAAGGTATGTATGAGCTTTTACATACAATAAATTGTGTAAATCATATTGTCAATAAATAAGATAGACAGAAAATATTAACATGATCGATTTCCACAAGTAAAGTATTGGATTCAATAAATATAAAAATTTCAATTTTAAGACATTTTAAAATAAAATTAATAAAATAACATTTAAGATAATTTTAAGATAATCGGAAAAGTCTTTATTCAGACAAATTTCCTAATTACATATTATTTATAGTTTAAATACGTTGAAAAACAAAGTCATATGGCCTTTTTAATATATCTATTACTTAAATTTTTGTATGCTTTTAATTTTATTGCTAAATTACATCTATATCAGTTTTATTTTTTCAATTTAAATATTGAATTTTTTTACAAAAATATTAATCTACTGTTATTAATAAATAAATGGATGTTACTGGAAAATTTAGTAATTAGTGAAATTAGAATGGCGTATTATTAAGATGCGTGCAATGCATAAATTGAATCATTATAAAATGTAATGCACTTATATTTTTATAATTAAAGTGAAATGTATATCAATAATCCCAAATATATTATACGCAATTTATTAATAATACTCACTCATAAGTGTAATAATTATCTCCTAATTATTATCCATTTAGCACTTTTGTTTTAGCTTTGCATTTTTTTACTATCTTATAAATAGCTTTTATAAATATCTTCCGACTTCATGTACAAAAACAAATGCGATATAAAAAAAAATATACAAAGTATATACGGTATGTTTTTATGTTTTCATAAAATATTTTATATTATATTTGATAACAAACACTTAGCAAATAAAAAGTTTTATTGATATTTAAGAATAACTAAATTAATTATTTAATACAATTTATTCAAATAAAAATTAATCATTTATTTATAATAAGTAATTATCTGTATTTCATTTACAAATGAGCATATGTAATAAAAATATATAAATAAATTATTTAATTGTTTAAATATTTTTTTTAAATATAACTAATGTAGTTGCACATTAAATTTAAATTATATCACTTTTTAATAAATTTTTTACCTTTTTTTATTTTATGAATATTCGCTTTTTTCTTTTTTTATATTAACTTACAGTAGAAGATTGTTTTATTAATTGAATTTGATTATTTCCAGCAAAACAACAACGGTATTGTTTTGTTACGGTATTACTTTTATCGTATATATTTTAAAAATTTAATAAGAATAATAATTATATAATTACAGAAATTTTTAAAATATTTATAAAATCTTTTAATTTTAGATTAATGCAGAACTCAAAATATTTGCATCTCCTCTACTACGGATCGTCCTTTCAACAAGAGATGTTGAAGATTTTTTAAGATTATATGCCCAACCTATTTTAGCAAAGAAATGAATCAGTTTAGTTGTCACATCAAATCCTCCTATTCCAATTTCTGGCGTACTATAATCAGATGGGAAAGTATGATGATAATTATGACAACCTTCTCCATATGTAACTAGGTGAACAAATGAATTATCCGCTGATGCAATAGATCTATAAAAGAAAATTAATAATAAATTCCATATATTTTAATATACTTCTTGAAATATGAATTATCAATTTTGAATTTTAATTAATTATTATTAAAATATTTTTTAAAGTCTATGATAAATATTTTGATAAGCAATTTGGATGTGGACGCTTTTTGTTAATAAATTAAGAAAATATAAATGTTATGAAAAAACAGAAATATGCTGAATTTATTTAAATATTACTTCCAAAAATTTACGATTTAATCTTTTTAAATACGAGAATCGTTTAAATATGTATTGCGATAAGATCTTTTAAATGAAAAAGTTTACAGGAGCTAATAATTAATATATAAATAATATATAATTAATAAAAAAATTTTTCACATTTAGTCACATAAATTTTAATGATTGTTATATGCAGCTGATCATGCAGATTTAATAAAAATAATGTACGTTTAATCATAACAAAAATTTGAATGTTTCATTATATTTTTGTTTAACAACTAGTTGTTGAAAATTTATATAAATTATGATATGCATTTATTTAACACTAAATGTATAAATATATCAAAAAACTTTATATGGTTAATTTTTAATTAAAATGACATTTTATTCATGATCAAGAAAATAATAAAATAATAAAAAAATAAATAAAAATAAGAACGAACAAAATGATAAATATCAAAGAAGTTATTATGAATAAATGCACAAGTAAAAGTATATTTTAAATTTAATAAAAGTACATTTTAAATTTAATAAAATTTAGTATAGTATAGAAATCGATGTTAATTCAATAATTGTATTCTATTTTATTCAATTATTCAAAATTAATATCATTTCAAATTATTATTAAATGTCGGTATACATGTCAATATACTTTTTTGAATTTTATATAATATATATTTTTTAGTTATATATATAACTATGTGTATATATAACTAAAAGCAATTTTATGCAAATAATTCTGTTTCTTTATATTTCATTATTAATTTTATAATATACAATAATTAAATTTACTTTTTTGCGTATCGTCTATTAATATCTATAATTATTATTGTAAATATCTTTATAATAGTTGAATCTACCTATTGTATGGTTTATATCCCCACATATGAGCAACACTGTTGAGACACCAAGTACTGTGAGAATTGTAAATAAATTTTAAAAATTGTGACATGACTGCATAGTACCAACTTTCATTCCAACAATATACTGGTATGGCTACTGTTGTAAACATAACTATTAACTTCAGAAATTTAAAATACCTGTTAATAAAAATAAGTGGATGTGTTTGAATATTATTTAAACATTTTGATACAATTGATTTAATTAATGTGATATTAATAAGAATTCATTGATAAATAATATATATTAATGCCATTTAAATAAACTGGATACAAATATGTCTAAAATAATATAATAATTATTGTCTATTATAATAATAATTTAAAAATAAAAATATTTTTTTATTGAACATTCATATTATATAGCATTACTAGTTTTATAACCAAGTCTATTAAAGAATTGTTAAAAATTAAAATTTTTCTGCTGAGGATTATCATTGTTTGGCACTGCAAGCTTTTTACATGGAACTACAAATACAATATAATATATTTATGTTTACTTTATTTTTAGAAAGTTAAAGTAAGCATTTGAACTAAATTTTTTATATAAATTGAAAACGTTCGAATAAATATCATCAGAGAGTAGCTTTTAAAAATATATCAGATCCAATTAAATTAAACGATATTGCCTTTTAATCACCTTTATTATTACCTTTTAATTTTAAAACGAAAAACTTTTTTTTAATAATAAATGTAAAAAATTGTGATTTAAAGGGCTGGTGGCTCTATGGCTGGTAACTTTAGCATATCGTCTGCAATAAAATTATAAATAAATAAATTAGTAATAAAAGATAACAGACTACAACTGAAACATAATAAATGGTAGAGAAATTATAAAAAAATTAATTGAAAACATTAATATTCAAAAACATTAAGATTTTAATTTAATTATTAAAATCTATACTAACTAATTAGGTAACATTTTATGTTAAAAATATAGACTAGATTGTGACAAATTAATTTCTATTGCAAACGTAATACTTTTTTTAACAAATACTTGTCTGTAGAAAAAAAGAAAATGCTGAAATACATTTAAATTTTTATTATTTGTAGTGTATTCATAATTGGAATATATTTTAAAATACATTTTTTAATGTTTATAAGTGTAAAGAACTCATTAAATAAAAAATTAATATCTTTATATAAGAATGTTGCGATTACAGATGAAATTAATAAGTGTCGTAAGAGATACACGTAAAAAAATAAATACATTTATTTCTAATGAAGAATTAACATAATACCACTAGTAAACAATAGATATCAGATATCATTTTTTAAAAACATTAGAAACTATAAAATCTAATAATAAAAAAACTAATAAAACACTTATTAATTTTTATATATATTTAATAATATAATACAATAGAAGAAAATTTTAATAAATATTAAATTTCATCGAGGCACAATGTAAAAACTGAAAAATAATGAAAATTTTTTTAGTTACTGCTATTGTTTAATTAAAATTTTAAAATAATGGCACTATTTTTGCAGCGTAAATTTATGTAATTAATTTCAAATTTAATTATTCTTATTTCAATTAGTATTATTTATTTATTCATCTTATTTTAAATATTAATTTTTCTTAATGCCGCTTCATTACATTGTATTATTTTTTTAATATTCTGAAATTCGATTCTAGTTTTAATCTTCTTAGTTACATATAAAATAGTTAATTGATATGAAACAACTTAGTAAAATAAAAATATTATTTACTTTTTAATTTTTGTACTTTCTACATATCATACTTTTGTATTATTTTTTAATATAAATATCATAATGGAAATTACGTTATCATTTTAACGAATGCTTAATACGTATGTAAATACATATTATGTATACATAGATTATTTTTATTTACGCTGCAATCGACTGGTACTAGCTCAGTCAATAATGATATAAATTACCATATTAAATTACCTTACAAACTAATGACCGAAATTAAACATATCAAAAAGGTAACAAGAACCATCAAAAGCATTTATAATTTGGGTAATGTTTTGAGAAAATAGAGCAATTTTCTTTCTCACAACATGGATTTTAATTTGCTTTCTATTTGTTTACTAGTGGTATTTCGACTTTCTTTTCATCATCTGAGTTTGATAGATCATGTTAAATTATTCCAGTTATATCATATTCTCTACATCTGATTTATTAATCATGCTAAACAGGCTTTAAACTTTGTATTCGAATTTTGTAACTATATTTTAAGTATACATAAAATTGAATATGGTTTTATCATCAGACTTTATATCCAAAATTATATTAGATGTTGCAGTGCTTTTCATCATAATAGTATACTTGATACTTTCGAACCTGTAAGATATTTTTGTTCGTTTATTTATAGAAGATTCGTATCTTTTCTGTAAAGTCGTTCGATTCTGTATCGTGGTGTACTTTTGAATTTTAGTAGATCTTAGCTCTTGAGATTTTCACAGAGTATTTGCCTATTTAGTATTAGTATATACTTAATTTTATTTGTTTAAAATGAATATATTATGTATGAATATAGTTAAATTAAAAATATTATCTAAGATAAATGCTGTTTATCCATAAATATTAATATCATTTTTTTTTTAATTTAATTTTTATTATTAAAAAGATTTATCTGAGTATTATTTGCAGATATAATAAACTAAATGATCTTTTATTTCTTCTGAAAATTATACATAATTGTGTACACAATAAATAAATATTAGAAATCGACTGATGCAGGGTATAATTTTCTACATAGTCGATGAAATGCTTACTGCAGGATCTATTTATATGTTAGTCAAAGTGTGAAGTATATGTGTTTGTAAATTTTATTACATCTTAAGTGTGTATTGATAGATATCTTATAATTTTAAAAAAGGATTATGTAAATCTTGATTTGACTTTGTTATAATAAATCAAACAATGTAAAGTCATTTATCCATAAATTTTGTTTAAAGGTTATACCCAGAGTTGGTTTGAATCTTTTAATTTAGGTATTTTCTGTCATTTCTATAGATTCAAGTATATATTCTGTTTTGTATTAATATTAGCACAAATCGATTGTACTGAAAAATTACTTTTGGTAAGCAATCTCGTAATTACTGATTAATTAAGTTAATGATAAAATCAGTAAACACCTAAATTAAATACGATAATCTGCTACGTAAAAATAACTTTCTAGTGAACATTATAATTTCTTTAAAAATAAGGGTAGTCGCATTTAGTTATTAAATTAGTTGTCGACGCATTTTAATTATCATAGGATATAATTCGCTCGGTATTATCGATGTTCTGTATCAACACTACCTATTTTAGTATAACTGGATTTTATCTGCAATAATAATCGGCTTAAAAGATGAATGATCTAACACTGTTAGTTGTGAATATTTAATTTTACATAATATTTTAAGAAATTTAATTTTTTGTGAAAATGTTGATGTACTATATACATTCGTTATTAGCGGAAGTTTTTAACCTTTAAATATGGACAAATTACGTAATATTCAATTTTCTTTTAATTTACTTATTAGGTAGTCCCGTGGAAGTCGTTCAATAATAAAATTATTTATGAAAATCGTATCTGTTCTAACAAATTTTCACTTTTACATCCAGGTTTACCAAATTTTTTTACTATAATGATGACAAGAACAAGAAATTAGGAGTATGTCACAAATAATTTTTTTTTCTCAAAAAACATGTGATTTAATCTAAAACGTAAATTTGTTTAATGCTTATATTTTGCAAGAGCACGCTTTGATTGTTCTTGTTTCGATCTAATTTCTCTATTTGCTGTCTGTCTGTCTGTCTGTCTCCCCTCTCAATATAATAAATATTTATTATCTCTTCGGGCTTACTTTTATAAAAATATCATCCTATACAACAAAATATCTTTTAATTTTATTCAAAAAATAATTCTAGATTGTAAATATAATCTCATAGAAAAGGTTTTAAAAATTTTACAAAAATATATTTATTAATATAAAATGTATAAATTTCAAAATATTATTTGTAATGTATTACTAAAAGTTATTATAATGAAAATTAAAATTCATACAGATGATTTTTATAAAAAATATAAAATAATATATTTAAAAATAATGACATAATATATATAACTGCAGTATTAATATAAATCTTTCGGTGAATGTTTTCAAATTAAAATAATCTTTTTATGAGCACGTGTTTTTATTATATTATAGTTACGATGTGCCTGTAATGCATGGAACAATCTAATGATTGTTATAAAATCATTAGAATAATAAATATTATTTAACGTTAGACATTGAATAGAATGTCGCCAGCTTACAAGTCCATAAAATATTTAATATTTAGTCGTGTTATGTGTGTTTATTAAATTTATATAGATGTATATTTTACTGAAATATAAAGTAAACATAATGTGTACCTATCTGTAAAAGTGACAACAGGATCCGCTTCAATGTCACTCATATTTATTGTTTTACTTTTTTGTAATACTGCAGGGTGTTTGTCGAGCATAAGCCAACCGCAATGAGAGAAAAAAAAACCACGTCTACTGTCATGCGGATCAGCGTTTGTCTCAGAAAATTTGTGATGCACCCGATGTTCCCTGACCCACGCACTGACCGGGACCTATATATAATTCATTTCATTTAAAACATTTCAATTTTAAATTATACGTTATAATTATTAAAACTTTAGTCATAAAAATATATACACTATATAATACATATAATATTACATATATTATAATGCATAACGATTTGTGGAATCTATATAATTTATAGTAAACATTATTTATTATAAATTTTAATACGTGTAAGGTACAAACAATAATGCATGTATAAATACTTGAAAATATAGATAAATATTTCATAATCTTTTTAATATTATTGGATTATATTTAATTACTTACAAATCAATTTAATAATTGATAAAAATGTAGATAAATAAGTCCATACTTGAGATTAAGCATAACACACATTATAATTCGTGTTTAATTTTTATTAACATGTAATTAATATTTTTATATTTAACTCATTTAAATTAAAAAAAAATGTTTTCATTTGAATATATATATATATATATATTTTTTTAATTAAAGTAATATAAGTATACAATACACAGACGATTATTTATTAAATAGAAATATGAATAAGTACAATTAAAAAATGTATTTGTCAAGCACATACATGAAAAATTAATAGATAAATTTAAATAAAAAATAATAAGAATTTTTTAAATATTTGTTAATAGAAAGTTGTTATTTAAAATAACGAACATATAGATAACAATTATTAGCATACTAATATTTACAATGACTAGTATTTTAATAATCTTAATATATTTTATATTATAAAAATGTTCAATACACAGAATGTATATATAATATATAATATTATATTATTAATTACAAAAATGGGTTTTATTTATAATTTACCAACAATTGAAATATTTTTTGGTATTAATCAAATAAAATTAATATAAGTTTTTACAATATGTGAAGATTAATGTAAATTATGTTGGTAAGTATGTAAATAAATCTCATTCAAATATAGTTCAAATATATGTTAATTTTGAAACCAATATTCAGCAATTTAGCAAAATAATATTATATCATTTGTAGACGCGTTTTGATATATTTATAAATTTATTTATTTTATGTAAAAATATATAAACGTGCACACATATCCATACGCATAGATACACACAGTAAGAGAAATAGTATAAATTGAAAATTCATCTATCTCACTTTCCTTTTTTTTACTATGTAAATTTTATTGTACCTCATTTCAGTTTTTGAAATTCAACATAATTATTTTTATACAACTCAGATTTATCATTAAAATTTTAGATTTCATTATAAAGCTAAATACTGTTGTAACGTGAAAATGTAAACACAGATTATAGCCCTTATCACTAGAAATTGAGTAATATTTCGTTGTAATATAAGCTTTAAATCAAAATTGACTATAAAATATTAGGATAGCTACTGTCTCATATTGATAAGGTATTTTTATAACCATCGATATCTTTCACTATTTCTAATATCAAATATTAACTAAGAAAAATATAATTTTATAAAATATTGTTAATCGAATTATTTTCAATTAAAATTTTACAGAAATATTATTTACATAAAAATGTATTATAAAAATAATTTGATTACCATCTAAATCATTTTAATAGTTAATACTTGTTATTTTATACAAGTATAGTCAGCTAGTGCTTAATAATATAATATAATATAAAAAAATATTTTATTAAAGTTAATAAAATCTTCTTATTAATTTTATTTAAATACTAATAAATGAAATAAAGTAGATTAACAATTTATTTAAATATGGTTGTTATTTTTTAATCGATAATGGTAATTTGAGTTTATAAATTGTTTAATCAATATGAGTAATATGCTTATTAAATAATTTTACAAATTTCTAATTGAAATAATTATAGTTATAGAAAAGATTTCAAATTATGTTTCATTAAAAAATACCTGGGATGCTGAGATAAAACAAGTTGCAAGAAGAATTCGTAGTGGTAGTTTGGCACTGAAAGATCTGTGACTCCAAAAACGATGAGCACCACAAGTTACACCAAATCCCGAAAATATTATCATAAATTGCACTGGAATGAAATAAAGGAAATAATAATTAATTATTTGATTACTTAAATAATAAAAAATAAGACTTACTATACAAAACAGTTTTATATCGTTCAATATAAGGAAACGTGATGAAACCGTAAATAGCTATTATATGAAGTACAACTAAAATTACTGCATTCTTCCATTTAATGTCATTTTTAAGAAAATAACTCCACGTGCTTATATCATTTGTTACAATAGTTTCTGTTTCATTAGACACTGTCTTCATTTTTTCACATGTTATATTTTTATTAATTTTTTTAATCTGATTATTATTAGCTTCATAAATTTCGGAATCATTATTAAGTCGAAATGATACGGCAGTATCTATCAACATTCTGTATTATAATATAACTGAAAATAAAAATTAATCACACAAATTCAATCAGATAAAAACTTTCTTAAATAAGAATTAAATTTCTTGCAAAGACTTACTATTAATCATTTATTTATAATTGATATATATATAAATATATAAATTTATATAAATTTATATAAATTAATATAATTATTTATTAACTATGTACTTATTAAGTATATTTAAACAAACGAATAATATTGTAAAATTGAATTATTTATAATATTTAAAATTTACTATGTGAGGTAAATATATAATTTAATTACAGTAACCGTTTCACTATGAAAAGTTAACTTTAATAAATTATTAATAATTATTTTATTAAAAATCAGTATAAACATTACAAGTTAAGTTTTTAGAATAGATTTGAAAACTGAAGCGTGCCATGCTCAATCATCATTATTTATGCTATTCAGAAGCTTTAGTAATGAAGGGTTTTTATCAATATTATTGAAAGGGAATTAATCGGGGGAGGAGTAGCTTTAACTTGATTGGCTTATTTAGTTTCGCTGTAAAATCTCGCTACGTTTAAATATATCCAGTTATGATGTTGCTGATTTCCCCCACCTATTTATTTTTAATTTATATATATAAGTGATAATATTCTGAAAATTAAGTTATTGAGATTATACCTATAAGTACAAGGCATTGAAAAATAATTATTAAAATACTAATATGGATAAGTTTTTATTCTATATGAATAATATATGAATAAATTTTATTATAAATGATTAAATTACTTCTGATTTTAAAAAATTTATATAATACAATTTATAACAATATTATTCATTTAATATATGTGATAATAAAAGATTTATCAAAATACTCAATTACATATTTAATTTATGATTATTGACCATAAAGAAATTCTAAAAATAAGTTATTCCGATTTTGAATGAGATTAAGGTATTTTGTTTCAAATGACATTATATTGGGGGATTTACTTAAATGTATATTCTTAAAATAATAAAATAATAAATTTAGTAATATATTAAAACATGATTATCCTAAGAAAGCCACAAATAGTGAAAATATTTTTTTTAATTTTATTTTATGTAAATCTATATAATCTTTAATGAATACAATTCATCTTAATATCTTGTTTTAACTATACATTTAAAGAAATATATTCGAAAATGATGATTTCAGAAATTGAGGGAAAATAAAGGTATTTCTAATATATGTAATATGTGTAATAATTAATTTATAATAAGTATACAATATTCTAGTGTATAAGAGTTATGTCAACCTTTAAAAGAAATATGGACTGTAAAACTTTTTATTTCAAATTTGAAATCTTGTATTATTTGTTGTAAATAATAAAAATTAAATATAAACACACCAATAAAAATAAATTATAAATTTTGTCCGAAAAAGTAAAAGATTTCACACATCTTACAATGTAATCTTTTTAAATTTAGAATGCTATTTTTTTCTACGGTATAATTATATTTTACAATTTTGATTATTTATTAATATCAATAATTAATATTATTTATATTAATATTAAATTTAAGATTTTAATTATTATTTTATTAAGATTTTATTTAATTCAGATTTTAATTAAATTTTAATTTTAAGATTTTTAATATATTTTTATTATAATACTGAATATATTTTGTAATTTATTAAATGTTTTGAAGTAATAAATATATTTTCCGGTAATAAATTTTAGAAAGATCCATTTTTATATTACGTATATTATAACCTTGATATTTTATGATATGATTGTTCTAATTATAAATACGTACATTATCTGTAAGAAGAAAAAAAATTAAACCATATCTAAGTGCAGTTCTTAAATATCCATAGGGAATTTTTATTCTTTTAATCGTATTATTTTCATTTTATCCTAAAAGTAAAGTTGAAGTCAAGCATAATTATATTATTAAATCTTTGTATAATAAAAATTTATATTTTAATTAAAATATGTTCGAATTATACGTAATGATAAGAATATATATAGAGTTAATATATAGAATGAATTAATAATAGATAAATTTCATACAAAGTATGTAAACTTACTTATTTGGAATGTAAATAAAATAACGTAAAATTTATTTATTTTTTTTTAATCAAGGTAAACAAATTTTATTTATTTACGTTTTATTAGGTATTAAATCTTTCAAACATAATTTCATTAGGGACAGCTATAAAACAGGTCATTTCAATTTTATTAAATAACATTCAAATATTTCAATGTTTATAATTATGAATACGATAGAGATTGAGTTTTTTAATACTTATACTTATGGTTTGAATAATTGTAAAATTACTTGGAATAAAAAATCAATTATTTATTTCCTATAGGTGAATAAAAACACTAAATATTTTCATTATAATATATTATTGGATTCAATTACAATATTATTCAATAAATTCTGAAAATCTGATATATTTGAATTTTTTAATACAAGAGCTTTAAATATATGTGCGAAAACTAGACTGTTGTATTATAAATAATACACACGCACGCACGCACGTACACGACCACACATATATATTATTGAAATAAAAATTCTATGCGTGAATAACTTACATACTACTTTAATAGTACGTAAATAAAGAATTTGTAATTAATGTAAATAGCTAGCAAGATATAGTAGATTTAGATATTCCTTTTATTATATATACATATTCTTTCAATTAAATTTAAAAACATACACATATTTTTCTATATTACAATTTATATATTACAGTCATTATATATTGGAATGAATCTTCTAATATATATTTTTATTAAATTATTTTTTTCGATTCTGTTTACTATTTTGCATATTTATTTCTATCGTGTAATTTTCAATTGGTTCTATTTTTAGTCAGAATCCGATTTTGATTTGAAAATTTTTTTTAGAATAATTATAATTTTTATTAAGTTTATTTAAATGTTCAATAGAAATATTTTTAGTTTTTAAATTCAGATGAATATAATATTTAAAAGTATATTAAAGCTAGGTAAAATTAAAAAGAAATATATTAATGAAAAAGCACTATGCTTAATAATAATAATGTTTAAGTTAACAATAATGTAATGTTTATAACAAAATCGAATTATTATATTAATTCATTATTTACTATTATTTACTTAATAACAATGTTTTAAATTAAAAAACAGTTTAAATTAATATCACTATACCTTTTATTTCCATAAATATTTTTAATATTATTAGTATATTTTAAAAATTAATATCTTTATTGTAAAAGCTACACATCCAATTTTTTTTATGATTTTTCAACAGACTCAGAAAAAACATTGATAATTGCCATCTTGCAAAATTGATAACTGGTCAACGGAAGCACCTATCACTTTTTTATTATACGTAATTTTTTGTGTAGACTAAAAAACTGATAAATGCGTTCTTTAAAGATATCAATTTTGCAAGTACGCACTGCCTTCAATGTATCGGCGACACGCGTGGCATCTCCCACCACCGTACACGAGCTTTCTTTTAAAAATTGAAACTTCAAAGACAACTTAAAATATATTCTTGGCAAACAATTTCTATACGAAGTAAATTAAAAGAGCTATAATAAATTATTGATTTTGTTTTACGATTTCTTTTATTTTATTCAATGTAAAAAATAACAATGTACATATATATATAATTATATATTTTGATTCCTGTAATCATTCTATTTGTAATTTTATTTTATCGAATAAAATTAATTAATAAATTACGAATAAATTATTTATAATAATGTATTCATAAATAAATCTAATATACATAAATAGATATAATAACCATTTGCAATAAATTTTTAATTATATTAAATTTCATTGTATATTTTATGTTTATATTTATATGAATATTGTGATACATTCATTTAATTTTCATAAAATCTCCAATTTTATATTTTCAAATTTTAATTGGTTACAAATTAAAAGATCTTTAAATATTATATTTTTTATGTACCAGAGGGTTATCGGATAAAACATTTATTATTTAATTATTCATTTATTTAAACTTTACATTATATTATTAATTTTTATTTATGTTATAAATCAACAGATTTATTAAAAATAATTGTAAATTTTAAGTCCTATTAAATTTTCTTTTTTTAATATATTACGTAATCATACGTACAGTTTTTATATTAGTTCGATATGTTATAATTCACAACTTGTTTTTAAAGAATAGAAATAAATGATTAATAATTAAAAGTATTTTGCCAAAGGACCAAAAAATAATAGTATGAATAAATATAATGTATAAAAAATACAAAAATAATTAACAGCTATATCAGTTAAAACATGAATTGTTTAAAAAGAGAAATATTTATTAGTTATATATTTATAAGTTACATAATGGTAAATTTATTGTTCTACTATTAACTTTTTATTTCTTTATATTATTCAATGATATATAAACTATTTAGATTATATTGCATTCTACATTTTGAACATGTAAAAACAATTATATTTATTGTTTTTTGTTTTTTTTTAGAGAATAATAAGTACAAACATTCCTTACATCATCATTTATCTTTAATAAGAAACAATTTGATGCTGATAAGATTAATTTTAGGAAATTATCAATACAATTATATTTATAAGAAGTATTTTCATAAATTTGTAGATTAGTTATATCATTCAAAAAATATATTTATCTCCAATCACTTATCACTGCTGTTCATTAACTATAATAAAATGTAATCGATTACCATTAAACCGATCGAATTCATTCATAATTTTTCTAAATGAATTTTTAAAATATTACATTCATTCCCTACGAATATTTTTTTCTGAAATATTCTTTTCTGGATCAAATAGTTATAGTGTATGTTAAGCACATTCTAAAAACATATCAATAATTTAAATATTTTAAACAATAAATAAAAATGAAAGATATTTAAAAATTAATCATTTATTTTATACCTTTTTAAAATACTATTCTATATAATATAGCTTTTTACAATTTGTATTGGAATAGATATTAACACATAAAAAATATAATAAAAAAAAACTTTTTCAAATTATTTTTTTTAATTTATTAATTGCTAGCAATTCTAGAGAAAATTATATAATGGAATTTTACCAATCATATACCATAAAATTTATTTTTATGTTAATAACACAAACTTGTATTTCTTTTAAATCATAA